CTCCCTCTTTTGAGCTACTGCATCCATAGGTGTAGGTCAAGTTCATCAAATTGTATCAGATTACTCTATTTTTCCTCTTCTTTCTTCTCCTAGTTGAGCTCTGATCATCCAGTTGAAGCCAGGTCAAGTGGGTATTATCTGCCAAGTGTGGGTGTTCTTATGCATATACCCTCTCTTCTTATCAACTGGACACTTGACTCTCTACTCTTGTCCTCTGTGGCTGTGTCACTGACTCTGGATTCAAGAGTCCCCAGGTCTTGCCACACTTGCTGGCCAACCAGGTTTCCAACCTGGTTCACAGAGTCTATTGAGCGTTGTAGGGCTTAGCTTGCAACTTCATTGCTGTTTTTTCCTCACTTCCCCTTATTGGTGACAAACGTGGTCACAAATCAGAGCATGTATTCCCACTGAGTCTTAGTCTTGGAAGGGGGTAAGGCTATAACTCTTTACTGGAGCAGAAAGCCTCATCTTTCTCTCATAGAATAGCTGATGGATTTGAACTGCTGATCTTATGGTTAGTAGTCCAATGCTTACTCTACAGCTCCACATCAGGACTCCTTACAGCATATTGTTGTTGTTGTTGATTGCTGTTGAGTCAGTTCTGACTAAGAGACCCTGTACATGGTTTCCAGGGAGCAGCTGGTGGGTTTGAACTTCTGACCTTGTAGTTCATAGTCCAGTGCTTATCCTAAAGCACACACCAGGAGTCCTTACAGCATATTAGTAAATTATAAATTTTATGGCAAAAGAGTAGAGTAATTAGGATCTTGATTCTAGGCTGGTTGGTTGCTTTCCATTGCAAATGGCGTACATAGGGTAGTCCTCATTGGGAAAGTGACATTGTTGCAGAAACTTTGAAGGAGTGAAAGAATGAATCTCCGTGTAGATCAAAATATAGTTCTGGATCTAAAAAGCATAGATCTGAGCACAATAAACAATGAATTTGTAAGTCCAAAGGTGGGTATATTTCTGATATGTAAAGACAGTGAAGAGATCAGTGCTGTGGATTGGAGTCAGTGAGTGAGTGAGTGAACAAGTGAAAGACAAATAGAAGAGAGAGAGAGAGGGAACAGGGTTTTGTTTTCTCTTATTGTTATTTATGTGCTGTGGAGTTAATGATTTAAGTCAGACTGTTGGAGACCAGTGGGTTTTTTAGTGCAATCAAAGAAGAGTTTTTCTGTGGGTCTCTAAGAGCTGTCTAACTCCTTGAAGCACCTGTTAGAAAATTTTTATTCCAAGGATTGTCTGACTAGAAAGAATAGTTTGGGTGCTTTGATGGAACACAAAGATGGAACACTTGGACATCTGATTCAATTTTTGCTAGGCATACATAGAAAACAAACCTCTGCCAACAATACTGAAAAATTCTCATCTGCCATTAAAGTCATTTATTACTTCAGAGCCAGGTCCTTGAATTATCTACCTTTCAAAGCAATTTCATTAGAAAAGAAGATTAGAATAAAAATTGTTCACTACTACAAAGAGCTATGCTGACTTACTAGAGGAAAATTCTGAAACATTTCTGGGAGAAATTTACGCCATTGGAAAAAAAGAGCCCTGGTGTGATACTGCAGTATAATGTACTAGACCACAAGGTCGGTGTGAACTGCAAGGTCAGCGGTTCAAACTCACCAGCTGCTCCTCAGAAACTTTTTACAGGGTCACTATGAGTCTGAACCGGCTCAATGGCATATAACAATAACAAGAGAAAAGAAAACCCCATTCATAGATCATTTGGGCAGGGAGTTGTTTTTCAGTGCTGTCGAGTCAGTTCCAACTCATAGTGACCCTGTGTAGGGTTTCCAAGGAGTGGCTGGTGAGTTTGAACTGCTGACCTTGCAGTTCAAACCGACCGTGTAGTTGAGTGCTTAGCCCACAGTGTCACACCAGGACTCCCACTATAAACTTATTTGTTGAAAATTTTACATTATTTAAGCAAGGTAAACCTCTTGAGTCAAAGACCTATGAATATTATTTTGGCTGTCATGAAACACCTGTCAGTATTTATAATTATTGGTTGGCTTTTATCTCTTTTCTTTAGTGGGTTAACTATTTAGTATTTATGGCAAGAACTATTTATTTCATTTCTATATCTAGTGCCCAGAGTAATGCTTGGCACATTATTGACTACTAAGAAATATTTGAAATGAAATGTTTGTTCTATGAATGTCTTCAATTTACTTTCTTCCCCATAGTATTTTAATGTAAATCTTTAAAATGACGTATGAACTTTGAAATAATTTATCCCTGCCGTCTCATGTTATTTAGACCATGGTCCAACTACATAACATCTCCATTTGACTTGTGTTTGAACAAGGAATGATGAGGTTCACTAAGTTTTGGAGGATTGCCACTTCCTTTTCAGTATGAATCTAATTCTTTAATTAAATCCTAATCGGTCTTTTATTTTTACCTGTTGGTAATATTTGTTAACATGTGTGGTTGCTAACCCTGAAATTCAGAGGTTCATGTCCACTCAGAGGTACCCAGGAAGACAGGCCTGACAATCTACTTCTGAAAACGCTGTGGAGTATGGTTCAACTCTGATACACATATGGATTCATTATGAGTGGGGTTCATTTGATGACAACTGGTTAATAATACTGAAGTGAAATCACATCATAGATATATATTTAATGGAATTCAGCTCTACATTAAAAAAAAATGTGCAGGATATTCAGCTCACTATTTGCAGTAAAGAATGAAATTGTCATTGCATTTTTTTTTAATGCTTTATTGTGAATTATATGATAATTTACAGGTAGAACATTAGCTTCAAATTCATCCTATCGTATATCGTTTCCTTGCCATGGTTACAATCTCCTCCATGCATCATCAGCCAACCAAAGGGTATACCCTGCAATCCTGCCCCCCTGTCGTCAGCACACAGCCCCTCTCCCGCTCTGGGTCTAAAGCCTCCAGCTGCTCCATCTCTCTATGTCATTGTCTCTGCCTCCATCTTTGGCATCACTGCTTCTCAGGGTAGGGTTCTGCTCTCTGCTCTTCTTTCTTGATGATCCCAGGGACCTCTACAAAGTTAATCACTCCCCTCCTTTTGCCACAAAACGTCTATCTTTACATTTCCAACCCTTACAATCAGTCCTGATAACAATTATTCACTGTTGCATCGCAAGAGACCCATCCACATCTCTTTCCATCAGCCCC